TGGGGGTCGTCCGAGATTAGACGCCTCTTCCAAACAGGCTATCAGACCACAACAGCGGGAGCTCGTCTATCGTTGCGTTTGATACAAGTCCAGCTGGCAGTGCCGTGCTAGCCGTTTCATAATTGAATTAGCCAACAAACAAAATCCAGATGCAGGTCAAATTTACATAGTTGCATGGATGAGGAGCGGTGATGGTGAAGAACTGAATGATAACTGAAACTACAAGATCATGCGTTATTTACAAATTTAAAAAGGCCAACCAACAACAAGGTGATGAGCAGCGTAACCAGGCTCAGTCTATAAAGTGTGTGACCAATGACCGAAGAGTAGTGGCAAGTTGAGATGTACAAATACTTTTTCCACTGTACTTCGGTTGATTTGTTATTTTAGGTATGTTACTTGGGTCACTACCCGAAGTGTTGTGTAGTAAAGTGAAATAAACTACAATTCTCAAACGACTGTTTTGACCTTTCTTCTTCCCTACAGACATACAGTATATAGCACAACCAAAATAAATACATTTAAAATAAACCCTCGAAAGCTCATGTGTCATATTTCATTGGCAAAGACGTTAGTTTTATTTAGTTTTATCACACGAAGAAATGTTCAATTTGGGTTTTTAATTTTGTTCGTTTTTGTTAACGATAATACCTTTACTTGGCATGCAAGTTATTCAAGGTTTTTACCTTGAGTTGCAAGCAGAAATTGTGGTTTCGAACACTAAATGGAGACGAAATGTTTTCATTGTCATTATTGTCTTATGTTGGAAAACAATCTGCCAAATTCTGTCCATTCTGAAACTGTTAATATCTGCCACGTTTTGTCGTAACCTTTTAAGCGCGTGCTAGTTGAACAGAAACGGTGCAGCAAAACATGTACAGAGACAATATAACTAAACTCATAGGCATATATTGTGGATCCTCTGCAAAAAAAACAAACAAAAAAATTTATATTTATTACTAGAGCTTACTGAATCACTTGTGTGAGAGTCTTTTTCATTCACGGTACAGTATTATTCATGATTGTATTATACTGCCCCCAGATGGCAAAGGCATGCACACTTATGGAGCACGATGTCAAGGAGCATTGAAGCACGAAATCATGAGGCACAAACTGTTCAATTCATTACATCTTATTGAACTGTTTTATTACTGTTTTTTATAGAAGACAACACCGTGCACTGCCATTTTTCATATGAAAATTACATTACAAACATTTTTGAAGGTGTATTTTCAAGCTTGGAGTTTGATGTAAAAAAAAAAAAAAAGAAATTAAAATGAGTTATTCAGGTACTTTTTTACTTAAGTAAAGGAGTTTAATCAGTAAGGACTAAATCACCTCGACTTAAGTACAGGGCTTGAGTACTTTTGCTACGTCTGTATGTGACTCGAATTACATGCAAACTACAATTTTCAATCAAAGAGTTAAAAATGAGAAACTCCCTACCGTGATCTAACAGGTGCAGCTATCGCTCAGCCAAAAGTGGAAACAAACATAAACCTGAAATATTTGTTCCCACCACCAGAGTGACGCATCGACAGGACGCTAGCAAAGTGATGACAGCCATTCGAAAAAAACCTTCATCAGCTTTCTTGATGCCTTCTAACACATGGTTGCATTTTGCCACAACTGAGCCGCCACGTGCATTTCACTCTAATAACACACATACAGTACTGTATATTTGTACATGGCAGACACCAAAAACAGTCATTAAATAAGGACAGGTGTTAGCCTGTAGGGTT